TGACTCGCCGAAGGTTCCGAAGCCCGCAACGCGCAACGCGTACCGGGGGTTCGAACGAGGAACGATCGCAGTGTTTTTTTTTTTTCGAAATAATCCGGTCAGTGAGTTCCATTCGAGCGTACCTTGAAGTTCCACTTTCTGTATCTTGTAAATATGATTAATAAGTCTCACCCCTGAGGATGCTGTACGGTAAATGGACGACGTGAGCCTCGGTAGAACACGCGTGTAATCAACCAAAAATCGATACTCGGGGGAAGGGGGTTACTAACGCAAACTACGTAAACACGGGAAACGCAGTTCGCCGAAATTTCCCCTTCGCGGTATTGTGACGTTAATATATTGCTCTCGACGACTTACTTGCATCACTGTTACGAAATCTAACGTCGATGGTTTCATCAGATTTTCATCACTCAACATTTTCACGTCTATTCTGTAGTGGCAAATTTCATATTTTTATAAAGTACTTTTTGCAGTCTTTTAATTTTGCATCTGTGTTTTGTGCTCAATCGTCTGTTTAATTCGCGCACAGGATTTAACAACGCTCGGTGACTCCTGTGAAAATGTATCAGCACTTTTTGTCAATTCATTTTCTTTCCGCTTAATACGTAAAATCGATTTTTCTCTCTGTTTCGACGAGGTTGTGTAACTCGACCAAAATGTAACGCTCGTCTCACCGTGCACACAACGTCCCAAGTTACGTCAAATCATCATGACTGCGCTTAACTCCGTCATTATTCGCGTGCGTTATCGTGCATGCGAAAATAAATCAATAATCTATGGACGATCGCGTTTTCACTCTTTTCAGACTCGCTCTTCCGAGGGTGCCCGCGCCAGCAAAAATGCGACCACGCTTGCTCTGGATCGGTAAGACCCAACTGATTATTGATTGAGATATCGAGTATCATTTCGCGGCCCGGCTTCATCTCATGTAATCATCCAATGTGGTAATCGAGTTATTACGTTAACGTCCGATCGGGTGAGCGCATGGGAGGAGCGGTGACAAAAAATGCGCCGGCAAGAAATCGTGCGGCAATATCCGTCGGTTTTCCCCCGGAGAAAACAGAAAGAGATTAGCCGGAGATTGCAGTGTCGGGGATAGAGGAAAAGAAAGTTCGCAATCTCTGTGACGTGTCCCAGCGTCAAGTATAACCTTCGTCTCGATAATCGAAGGAGATGAAAAGTCACCAAGCAAATTGTTGAGCAACGCCCCGAGCCATCTTTATCTACCGTTTCATCGAATTATTCTGCCGTATAAGTTCTCTCGCCCATTACGCGCCACGTAATCAATACGGCATTCTTTGACAATGCTCGAGTGCGGCCGCTCGTGCGTGGCGACACTGTAAATTATTTGAAAGAAAGAAGAAACCGCACGGACGAAGGAGAGAGAGAGACCGTCTTGATCATCGCGAACGTGACAGCGCGAAAATGCTGTTCGTTAAGACATGCCTCGAGTGGTTTCAGACGCGCGTTAGATATCCCGGTAACAAACAAAGAAGAATTCACGCATCTCTTCAATGCGAGAACCTTGTCGCCTCGTGCCGCACATATTGAAAGAACGATGTTTGCCGAATAAACAATCGACGAGTCGTAATCTGTATGATTAGCACTTGAATGTAATAGTGCGCGAAAGGATGCGATTTTTTTTTCGTAAAATGATTTTCCCGAAGAAATAAAGAAGCGAGCGGAAATAATAATAATAATAATAATAATTTTGCAGTTTCCGTGTGGCAACTTTCGACATCTCGATTTCAATCGCGACGTTAACGTGCCGTGCGGGTTTCAAATTTCGACGGAACCTTCGCGCAAGGTCTACGACATTTTTTCGTAACATCCTCTAATTAAAACGAATTCGAGATAAGCGAGCGCGCCGCCGGCCGGTATTGTTCCAGCGCACTTTTACGTATTACGGGGTCACCCTTTACGCTTACGATCATCCGTACTTAAAATAAAGGTCAAGTGTATGCAGCGTGCCGTGTTAGCGCAACTGCTATCGCCTTCCCTTTTCTCGTGAATCTTAAAAACGGACGAACACCACCGGAGATCGCGAGGAACGTGTAGGGGAGGCGGATAAAATGACGGAATAATGCAATTAATTTCGGAGAGAGGGTGAAACTTTTTCAATTTTTCTGTTCTCAAATTATGAATATTCAACGGCCGAAAATCCTCCGGTTTGTCTTAATTGAATGATAACGATTCGTGAATACCGGACGTCTTCTGTAAGGGAATGAATTAAAAACGGCGATACGGACGGAAATTTTTCCTCCGGAACGCCGAATTGGATTTAAATTTGTTGAAATTCGGTGAAACGGTCAGAGCAGAGTTAAGCCGTTTCCGCTGCAGCTTCCCTTCGGGCAAGTTACGTCAATACTCTGACGCGATCGTGCAATGCTAGTGTAACCACGTAACGGTCAAAGATCCTCTCGAACGATGCATCGAGTACCGTGCTCGGATTATCTTCGTAGATCACGCGAGGCTCGGCTGCATCTTGATCTCCGTCCTATTGTTTCGAGGTAACCAAAACCGAAGCTATCAACCGGCAACAGGAAGATGTAGGGATAATGGTACCGGCGATATTGTTGCCTGAAATAGTCTTTTGGTCAAATTGCGCGTAGTATGGAATTATTGGTGAGAGAAGGCACGGTGAGAAAAAGTGTCTGCCTAGTCCTTGATTCGATATTAAAACGCGTTACGATAAACATATATCGTGTTATTTGAATTACTTAAGTTATTTCGATCACAACGGCCGATTCAATTCATATTCCGATAAATTTATGATTAGTCGAGGAGATGGAAATATTCGGCGACACAAATTCACCTGAATCGCCCGTGTGACACGTTGCGCCAGCGGTATTATTTAAAGCGCGGAGGTCGTGTCAATCGTATTTGCTAAGTTATACTCATTAATCTACGTCGACGTAAAGTCACCATTAAATCTTAATTTATCAATGTCAAATCGACGCTGGAGGTATCAATGGCCGACTCGTTTGATAATTACGCTTATTCGCCGTTGAATTATATCCTCCGTGATAACAGGAAAAACCAATCAAGATTTTCATAATTCATCCCGACACTTCCTTTCATATCTTTTCCACGTCATTTACCAAAGCTGTTTTCAATCATCACAGCCTCGACGTTACCTCGCCTTGCCGAAGAAATTAAAACATTCCGACAGAGCGGAAGTCACTTTTTTGATTTGCATAAACAAGTTTCGCTGAAAATTCGAAGAATACGGATACTTGAATGCAAGAATTTTCTCTCCCGATTATCAGTGCTTTCGACATGATCGATCGTCTATAAAAAAAAAAAATGCAGCAATATATAGTAAAAAATGTTGTGTTAAATTTAACTTATTTCACATGTCCCAAACGGTTCACACAAAATTTAGAATTAATTTAACTTTTAATTAAATTGAATATATTGAAAAGTAACACAAATATTATGTTAAAAATCAACGCAAAATTAATATTCACGATATTAATCGGCACTGAAGTATAAAATGTGTTATATTAAATATATAACACTTACAAATGTTATTTCAACACTTACACATGTTAAATATTTGCTCAACACGAAATGTCGAGATGACATAAATATAATATGTTAAATTAACGCAAATATGTGAAAAATAGAACACGAAAGTTATGACGAGGACCGATTTTAAGTGCAAAATATCTCTTATTGTTTATGCTTCAAAATATATTTGACAAGTATTCGCCAAACTGCCAGCAGAGCTTGAGATCGCAGTCTGGATCTTCTCGCATGCTCGGAAACCAGACTTCTGTATCTGCTTAACAAGTAGCTTGCGTGATCCGCGGACCAGCACGACGGTGTCATTGCGAAAACCCCGCACGGGAGTCTCTACAATTCTCGTGTAACGCCACGCACGCTTGAAGGAGGTTCGTGCTGCGTTCGTCTCTCTCTCTCTCTCTCTCGCGCGCGCGTGATCCTTCCCTACCCTCCTTGTCTCTCTCCATTTACGCTTTTTGATGCGATTTACGTACGGCCAAGCGTGCGAAGAACTCCTAGCTTCTCCGCGCCTACGCTCTAAGCGCGCTCGACAATGCTCCTTAATTAATTAGACGGGAAGTTATGTCAGAGATTTTTCAAGACACATTTCTCTTGTGTGAGACTCGCACGCAACCTCCCGTCATCGCGACGAATTGCGGCGGTTGCTGGTGGCGGCGGCGGCTGCGTAGGCAGGCATTAAGCCTTTGGCACTTGGGCACTTAATTGATGTCACAGTAAAAATTCTCTCTCCTTGTAATGGAACTTTAATGAGATGTTCGTTGTGGCCGCGTTAAATAATTCGCCGAGGGCTACGTGTCGAAAAATAATGCCGCCTTGTTTGCATTTGTTTCAGTTTTGCTGGTTGTCGCTCGTACAGTTTTGGTAAGTCATTCCCCGTTTTATAAACGCTGATCGCGTCGCTGAAAAGTGGGATATGAAAAGAAAAAATTGTTTTCCCAAACTTTTAATTAATTCTGTTAAATTTAAACTTATTTCATCATCGGAAATAATCTAAACGCAAATCGATGTTTCAATTAAAAAATACACCGAGGGAAAGATTTCTTCAAATTTAATCAATTTTATCGCATCCAAACAAATGTCATCATTGGCATGCTCCAGAGAAACTAATGTTTCGATTAATAAATGCGATTGTCAGACTTTCCAACGAACGTGTGCTTAAGGCAAAGATACATATCTTTATCTTAAATAAAGAAATTTGTTGTGCTGGTGCATCTATTAACTTGTTTCATCTGTGAATGCAGACTCACTCTCGATTTCGTTCGTTCCCCCGCTTTCTATCTATCCTCACGGGGAAGCAGCGCGTTCGTCCGCATAAATCAACGGGACGGAGTCAATTTAATTTTTCGCGATCAACACATCTTATTCGTCTCATTCCCTTAGCCGTCTTGCGAAATAGCATTTTCGGTTGCGCAACTTTAAGCACTCTCATATTAATCGCTCGTGACTGCACTGTTGTAACCTGCACGATCACAATGATCGAGAGTACGAAGACGCTCCTTCGGACATTTCTACGAGCACGATCCCAGCGATGTCGGAATCTGTAAATCTGTTATAATTAATCGTTCAAGGGTATTGCGACCCCAATGGATGGTACGACGTTACACGGTACCAAACTGTAATAATACGAAACAGAATAGACACAATGTTTGGAATCGTCGAAATGTTACTTGCATCGTTAATATCACTTACAATGCAATTAAAGTATCAATTTGAGCATTAAATATCTCGACGATCAAATCAAGGATCAATTTGTTCTTACTTCGATTAAATTAATAGCAAGTGAAATTTATATTCGTCAAGCGCTCTGTAAATATTTTGTTCGATCTTACAGGCTGACGAGGGGTATAATTATCCGAGACCGCCAAGTCCGCTTATACCAGGTGGTCCAGGTGGAGGTCCCGGTACTGGAGGATTTCCAGGGACTCCCGGGGGATACCCATCTACGCCTGGTGGCCCCGGTGGAGCACCAGGAGGTCCTGGTGGACAGCCTGGCGGACCTGGGAAACCTGGTGGTTTTCCATCCGGCGGGCCAGGAACGGGCTTTCCAGGTGGGCGTCCAGGAGGTGTTCAACCAGGCGGCCAGCAACCCGGAGGATTTCCATCGGGTCAAGGACCTTCCGGTGGATATCCAAGCGGACGACCGTCGATTCCATTTCCGAGCGGTGAACCAACAGGTGGTGGATTTCCTGGTGGCCGACCTGGTGGCCAAAGGCCAGGCGGCTTTCCAGATGGCCAAGGACCAAGCGGGGGATATCCCAGTGGACAGACTCCTGGAGGTTATCCCGGTGGAGCACAGAAGCCTGGTGGTCCGGGAAGTGGATATCCTAGTGGAGGACCCGGCACTGGCTATCCAGGAGGTGCTCAGAGACCTGGCGGTGGTCCAGGTCCTCAAGGACCAGGAGGATACCCAGGACCAGGCGGACCAAGTGGCCCTGGAGGTCCTGGAGGTCAGCAAGGCCCAGGTGGACCGTCTACCGGTGGTTACCCTGGTACTAGACCAGGACCTCAAGGGCCAGGAGGCTATCCAAGTGGGCCAGGTACACGAATATTAAACAAAAAATACAGCTTCTTCAGATACATTATAAGCGTGAGTGACAAAAGTATCATTAAAACTCGCTGATATCACCAATCCTTGTAAAATCGTTGAAATTAAACACAAGTGATGAAATGATTGGGAAAGTCAATCATATTTATTAATTGAAACATTAGTTTGTGTTTGGACTATTCCTATGATGAAATGAGTTTAAATTTAACAAAATTAACTAAACCCAAAGAAATAATCTTCTCTGTGTGACAGGAACTCAAGGGCCAGGAGGTTATCCGAGCGGACCAGGAACACAAAGGCCAGGAGGCTATCCAAGCGGTCCAGGACCGCAAGGACCAGGAGGCTATCCGGGTGGACCGGGAACACAAAGGCCAGGAACACGAAGACCAGGAGGCTATCCGAGTGGCCCGGGACCACAAGGACCAGGAGGCTACCCGAGTGGCCCGGGACCACAAGGACCAGGAGGCTATCCGAGTGGCCCGGGACCACAAAGACCAGGAGGCTATCCGGGTGGCCCGGGAACACAAAGGCCTGGAACACAAAGACCGGGAGGCTATCCGAGTGGTCCAGGACCGCAAGGACCAGGAGGCTATCCGGGTGGTCCGGGACCGCAAGGACCAGGAGGATACCCAGGTGGACAAGGTCCACAAGGACCAGGCGGTTATCCGGGTGGGCCTGGTCCAATAGGGCCTGGAGGACCCGGAGGACCGGGTGGGCCCGGAGGACCCGAAGATACCGGAGAATATCACGGTGGTGATGAAGGGAAATACGACGAAGGTGATTACTCGGCCATTCCAGGAGAGCCTGGTCGCGACTATCCTATATATAGTGAAATTCCGGAGACCAGCTTCAGTTGCGATACCCAACAACTCCCTGGTTATTACGCCGACGTGGAAGCTCAGTGCCAAGTTTTTCACATATGTGCAAACAATAAGACGTACGACTTCCTTTGTCCGAACGGGACGATTTTCCATCAACAATTCTTTGTCTGTGTCTGGTGGAATCAATTCGACTGCAGCACCGCGCAAAGCCTTTACTATTTGAATGAAAATCTGTACGATTATACTATAATGGGAACACCAGAATTCCCAGGAATCGGAGGACCTGGTACATATCCAGGAGGTCCTGGAGGTCCCGGAGGACCTGGCACATATCCAGGAGGTCCCGGAGGACCTGGTACATATCCGGGAGGTCCCGGAGGACCAGGAGGTCCAGGAGGTCCAGGAGGTCCCGGGGGACCAGGTGGCCCAAGTTATCCAGGAGGTCCGGAACGTCCTGGCGGTCCAGGCACTTATCCAGGAGGACCTCAAGGCCCATCGGGACCAGGATATCCTGAAGGACCGCAAGGTCCAGGAAAACAACCTCAAGGACCTTTCGGACCAAGCGGTCCAGGAGGTAGTTTCCCAGGACGACCGGGAGGCTCATCCGGCCCAGGTTATCCTGGTCCAGGAGGCCCTAGTAAACCAGGGCCCGGATACTTAGGTCCCCCGTCAGGGCCTCAAGGACCTCAAGGGCCTCAAGGACCACAGGGACCTCAAGGGCCTCAAGGACCAGGATATCCTGGAAGACCTCAGGGGCCATCCGGCCCTACCGGACCGACGAGACCTCAAGGGCCTAGCGGTCCCGGCGGCTACCCCGGACCAAGCGGACCGTCTCCAGGATATCCAGGCAGTCAACCTCAGAGACCAACGGGACCACAAGGTCCAGGTAGTTATCCGGGCCCAGGCGGACCTGGTGGCCAACCGCAGGGACCTAGCGGGCCGGGATATCCTCCGAGCGGCAGACCAAACGGCCCATCGTTCCCGGGTGGACCCGGTGGGCCATTAGGACCAGGGGGTATCCCGGGGAAGCCGGGCGCACCGTTCCCGCCGCAGGGCCCCTCAAAGCCAGATCGTGAGTACTTGCCGCCGAGGGCTGGATAATCGTGAATCCAAGGCGCTCCAGCCGGTATCTAACGACGACTCCCACCGTTGTTAATGCTGGATGACACGTGTAAATACGAGCCTCTTTACCTGTGTAATCTAAGTGATGTCGGTTATTCGTATTATTGCATTTTCACTTTTACGTGTAGGGAATTCAATTATTCTGCTTGCACGTTTGCTCATCCTGAGGTTTCCGTACATTCAATTAAAAGTTTATTTCGTCACAGTTGCCTGTTTCAATCACATTTCACACCGAGACAATATAAAGTGCTATTTTACGAACAAAGAAATTACATTAATGCGTACGCAGGTTTCTCTTTATTTAATTTTCTTATTAAATTTTGAATACATTGTCATACAGTTTGATTCATCTTGAACCTTTATGTTACATTGTGCTGAAAATGAACACGGAATTCGACAGAAACCTTACGATGAAAGTACGAGTAGATATTAAGACATGTACGCTGCATGTATTCGTCAACGTTCGATTTAACTCAGCTTATTACGGTGAAATCGAAATGTTAAATCACTCGATTTTTATTAATCATTATACAGAATTGAACGTTACGCTGAAATTCGTTTCTATGCAATTAGTGTTGCAAAACACACGCAGTAGACGGTTATTAACATTATCGATCGTAATAATAACGTTACCAATTTCCAATATAATAATTACGAACGCTATTAGAGTATCGAGATGAAAACGAAAGAGCCTTGATGGAATACACGCAGTTTGTAAGTATTATACAATGCGACGTATTTATTTATTCAGCTTTAATAAAAATATGAAACGTTACCATTACGGCTTTACCGTCGAGGAAGATCAATCGGCCGTCATGCGAATGTCATCGATACACGGATTCTTGTACAATTAGAATTGTCCAATTAAACCTAATCAAACGTGCGAAGGGGCATAATCGAGTGTTGCATACCTTAAGGCATAATTTTGTCTTATATAAAGTGTCATAATTACACACGATTCACACATTTTAACAAGCGATTATTTATCGCGTAATACGCGTCTGCCGAGCACAAAACACACACCAATCGTGAAACATACGCAGTGACGTTTCTCTAGCGATTTGTGCGACGTACTTTATTAGTATAATTCGAGGGGGAGCTGCAAGTATACCTGTAAGATTACAGATTAGTATTCCCTTAGGAAGTAATTTACGAACGAATCATAGGATACGGAAATTTCTACGCGGAGATTTTCGGAGAAATTCCAGCGCGGGGATGTTATTTCTTTCGTAGGAACGTTACCAACAACCACGGGAGAAGACGTATGGAAGTATATCGGATAGGTCTTTCCGGCAAACGTAGCCGACAATTATTCATCCCGATGATGAAATTTCGTCCACGATGCGAAAAGCGTACACACACACACACACATACATATTATTGCAATTATTATATGCGATCCGAAAAATAATTCCGGTGAGAGAATCCGATTCCTTTTGGAGAGCGTATCATTGTCACATGTAGTTAAGCAACGCATGACATAATTATATATATATATATATATACATATACCTATATTTTTTATAACAATGGTTTGAGACTCCTACGTGGGATGCCATTATGTATATTTTATGCGCGAAATAAAGGAAACACCTTTGCAAGAATTATGTTTGTCTCTCTCTCTCTCTCTCTATTCACTCTGCGCGTCGCGCGGGTTCGTGTGAGACGAGCACACACGCGTTACTACATATTGCCTTTCCCTTTCCCCTCATTACTATAATTAGTCATTTCAAATTGTTCACGTCGGAGGAGAGGTTACATAAATTCGTACGCGCGGTCTACGTGCGATCATCGTTTCGCGATTTATAGTTGCGTGGATTTCGCAACGCGCGCGCGCGCGTGCCGCCTCTCTTGTCTCTGCGCGCATCTACTCGCGCGGGAGAGCAGTCATTCGACGGGGCAAATGATTTCGCGGATTCCCATGGCAGTGACGTTACATTAAATAAACGCGCGAATCAGCCACGGCTCACCTCGCGCGTACCTCAAATTGTCCGACGCAGGTAACCGGGTCGTAAGGAAACGGGGAACGTCCTGCTCTCTTACGTCGTATCGGTGAAAATGTCACCGACTGAATCAATGAGACCGTATCGCACTGTGATAAGCTGAGGATATTCGCTAATCTTTAACGGGAACACCTCCGTTTAGCTCTTTTGCGTCATTCTTTTTGTATTATTAATTTCATTGGTCTTGCCCGGTGAAAGATTCGCTGCAAATCGCTGTGGCGCGTACCGTGGCGGAAATATACGCACATATACGTGTATGCATTCAGTGTATGTCGTATCTGGCGTGGTTCATAAAGTAATAGAAGTACTTAAGAGACTCAGAAGTTTCGAGTCCGATCAGCATGTTTCTCAAATATGGTATAAATTAAATTAATCAAACGCAATTAGGAGTGTTTTAGATAAAATCATTGACAGCATCTTAAGAATTACTAATAAAAAAGAAAAATAGCAAGAAAAAAGTAATAAATAATATCTTTTCCTGTTCCTGTCCCTCGTCGTCGGGATTGTTTCATCCCCTTAGCCGGACGCGGGAAAAATCACACTTAATCGCGTGTATCACAGATGCGATGGAAATAAGCGCGCGTAAAAAGGCGCGTTTGCGCATCGGCGCGTACACACACGTGGGCAGGGAAACGGCGCGGTTAACGCGCGCGGCGTTATCGCGCGAATAATCGGCCGTACCTCGTAATGAAAGGAGCTATATACGCGGAGCCAATTAAACTTTGGTCTGGAAAACGTGGCTTGGAGCGAGATAACAAAGGTCAATGGCTAATTAACAACGCGCGCAAATTAAGTGCATAATTTGCGCCCACGTGCGCCCACCGCCCGCCCGCCCGCTGCGCTGCGCGTTACACACGTTCCGCATACTGTGCGCTGTAATCAGCATAAATGCGCTTTGATAATGAAAACTACAAGTAAAATATCTCGCGCGCTGATCGCGGCCGCGCGCCGGTTAACGCCACGGTCGAACGACAAAGCGCGTAAATTGTGTCATCAAAGCTGTAAAATAATTTGTAACAAACTCTACTTCAGCTCTCTTCCTCTCTCTCTCTCTCTCTCTCTCTCTCTCGCTCTCTGTCTCTTCTTTTAGCAAAAGTCCGGAAAGAAAGAGAGAGAATTACACTAGTCTGCAAATTGAAATCTTGGGCCCATCGCCTGAATCTATTAAGATGGTGGATTTAAGATAAGTTGGTGTGCTGAGTCCGAAGATCAGATTTATTTATTTACATACATGTATCGTTATCACGATATCTGCACCTCCCACGAAAAGTTTCGTGAAATCCCAGGGATCCGCTGGTTCGATTCCGAAACCGAGTCGAAAAAGTCGTCGGGACCAGCACTCCTCCAAGTAGACGAAACGCGCCACGCGGGCCGAAGAATAGACACCCTCCGCCCCCCCTTTCTCATCTCTTCTGTCACGTTAAGAAACAATCAAAAGGTTACTGGATAAACGCGCGCGGCGCAAGCTGAAAATGTATAACGCAATGCATTATGAATCACCTCATGAATACGTAATGGGCGAATCCAGGTACGAAATCGCGAATTCGGTTTCGTCAGCGACGAAGGTCCCGCGGAATACACGTATCCCGCGGTCCCGCTCGCGTTTATTCGGCGCAGCAGGCGAGGCGAACGGCCGTGTGAAAAATGTGGAAATTCATGAGAAGGCGCCGCACGCTCCGTGGAAATTACGCTCCCGGTGATGATGATGCAAGGCAACCTTGAATGGCACGCGGACCATCTCGCTTGAAAAGTAGACCATTAGAGCGGTGATAGTGACGGATCACCTGTTAACAGAGCTGACTTACGGCCCGACCTTTCGCAGCTGGTGCCGATTCCGCCACAGGCACCAGACCTGTAACGTTGACTATTTTCGTTCGCGCCGCGCGAAAGGAAGACGTATAGTGTCTTTACCTTCGTTTCTCTCCCGACCGCCATTACCGTGTGTGCGGTTAATTGGCGTGCGTAATTGAGCTCGCCTATGCATAAAGCGAATAACCGACGAATCAGTCAAGCAAAGTAAATCCTGTTCAAGATGATTATATCAAGCGCACGATACCGCGATGTTCTCGATACGAAGACGTTATAAGTGCGTTTTACGCAATGATTCTTTATTATTTCTCTCCTTTTTCTTCTTTCATGAAAAGCCTTCGTCTGTTATTAAAGGTAGATTTATTGTGTTCTATTTGTATTTTGTGCGATAACGTTGTTAATGATCGCAGCGGAATGAAATGTTAAATAACGGACAAAATAGACAACGGAACACAAGTGTGACGATAGGCCCAAGTTTAAGAAGAACGAGGAAGTATACTGTATAATTAAACGTGCCTTGAAAACGCTCCGGGATATTCGAGAATAAAAGTGCGTTGCAACAAATCCCGGTTATTGCGCATTGGCATATTACCGCCACTGTGTAACGGCGGGGGCTAAATAAATGATTCCATAAGTAACCACTGGAATTCACCGCTTAATAGCGGAGGTATTAAGAGAGGCCATTATACTTACAAGAGCCATAATACCACCTTCTCCTTATTTAAGAAATATTCTCACATAATAAAAAGAAGGGATTTCGCAAGCTTCAAGCGGTGATTAGTTTCACCTATGATACGACGGACGTCATGCACGAATTATAAAATGAAAAGCTAAATCTCTCCGGTTGCTAAGACCGGGGGATCGCCGGGAGAAGACGCCGTTGCGTCGGTGTGTGCTTTTGAGCTTGAGACGAAACACATCAGCGCGTAATTGCGGCTCGTTAAATTGAACTTTTAAGAATGAGTATCCCTTGCGTAACGGCCTAAGTCAAAACGTAATTTTTTTTCTGCAATTTGCTCGCCATCTCGGCCCCGAGGCATGCGCGTGCACTTAGCTCACGGGGTATCGCTCGACCGGCACGCCGACGGAGATGCAGCGATGACGAAATTTGTCAGCTCTTCAACTACCGACTGCATTATTACATCTCCGTGATACGATACGGACGATGAAATACGCTGTCACGGGAGAAATAGGACGAAAAACGGCTGGCCGGGCAGCAGATGGCAGCCCGATATTGCGAGGCGCGATTTATGCAATTTCTGTAGATTGTAAATTGCAAATGACCGTGTGTATTGCGGGCCGAT